AAACTTGGCTGAATTTGACTGCTGCCCCCAGAGGGGTGCTGGGACTAGAGGCAGGGCCCTGGGTTCTGGTCCTGTCTTTGCAGACCTTACTTGTGGGCTCGGGCCTGTCCCTGTCCCTCCTGGGGCCTCCGTTTCCTCATCTCATCTCCTGGCTTCGTGGTTTGGGCTTGGCAAGGATTTGACTGCGTGAGGTGATGGCAGGGGACTCAGGAAGCCTTGTCCCACATCCTACTTCCAGCCCAGCAGCAGAGCAGATCAAGGGACCAGCAGGCGGTGGACAGGTCACAGCCAGAAGGGAAGCTGGAAGGGTGGGTGCCAGAGCCCCTGGGACTCAGTGGGAGGTCGGCCTCGCTAGCCGGCTGACATCAGGGCTGGTGAATGTGAAGGGAGTTCAGCAGGGTCCATCAGCCCTCACCTCCTCCACAGTATGGTAGCCGGCAGGAGCTGGGGGAGGGTTAGAGGAGGGGCCTTGAGGGGATGGCTGTGAGGAGCCCCTGGGGCCTGGGGCAAGCTGCAGCCTCCCCCCAAGTGGCATGGAGCCAGCTCTTGGGTAGCACTGGTCGTCGATCACCCCCTCCCCACCTCAGCATCACCCCCTCCTCCCTCCCTCCTTCTCTCCCTGCCCCTCTGCCTCTCTTCCTCCCACTCCTCATCTCTCCTCCCCTAGGCTCATCTCCCGCTACTGACTCAGTGGTCTGACTGTCAGCAGTCAGAGAAGCCAAGGGGGATGGTTTGATTCTGGTACTGTCTGCCCAAAACCCACTGCAAGCCCCATCTCTGCCCTTGCCAGTCACAGATGGAGCCCTGCCCAGCCCCTCCCAGATGTCATCATGGTACATCAGGAGAGACCAGATAACCTGCCTGAGGTGGGAGAGTGTGGATGGATCCTGGGAAGCTAGTCTCTAGAATCTATTAACCATTAGGGTTCCCAGCCTAGAGACCCGGCCAGCCATCCTTCTCTGGGAAGCTGGGAGAGAAGGCCAGACCCCTGCCTGCTCCCACTCCCCTCTATGCTGCCGGACCAAGCACAGGCCCAGGTGCACATCAGCTATGGGACAAGGGACCAAGCCATTCAGTCCCTCCTGAACTTCCCCACCTGGTCATTCCTCAGGTCCTGCAAAGGAAGTGGCTGGGCTTTTCTGGCAGAGACCAGGGTCTCCGAACTCCAGGCTCCCGTGCTCAGACCTGGAGGGGCTGAGTGCTACTTGGGGCAGAAGCTGTAGCAGAAGCCTCTCTCCTAGTCTTTATCAAAGATTCCACCCAGAGAAAGAATGCAGGGAGCAGTCTGGCTCACTCTGTGCAGAGAGCTACTTACAAAACACACACACACACACACACACACACACACACACACACACACACCCCATGCACGCCTTTTGGTATTTGAGTTTCTCATGAAATAATTGCTGGAAGGCTCCTTGGATTAGGTAACCCAGTGTTCCTTCCTGTCCCTGTGGAGGAGGGAGGGGGGGGATTGGCGTTCAGCATCTGTTAGGCTGATCCAGCTCCTTTGGGGCAGAGCAGGCCAGTCCAGGAGGTCTGTGGCTGCAAACGTCTTGGGAAGCCTAGTGTGACAGGAACAAGTCTTTCAGGCCTCTTGTTCCCCTGCCACCTGGCTGTGCCTGCCCAGCCACTAGCCCTCCTTCAAGTGGGCCAGGCCTGGGAAGGAAAAGGCTAATCAGGAAAGGCTTTTTGCACAAAGAAGGATGAGATGCTCCCACTTTTTATTTTAAATCAATTTTACATTGTAAGTGAGATCAGACAGCACCTTTGCCCATCGTTCTGTCATTCTGAAGCAACAGCTATTTTCACTCCTCCCTTTCTCATGATGTTTGGAGGTTGGGGGGTATGGAAGGAAGGAATATCTGGGTTCCAGCATGAAAGGAGTGTTGAGAGGGAATCGAGGTGGGAGCCCTGGCCTGTGGTTACAGGCCAGGGACCGAGACTCTGATGGAGGGAGAGAGGTGATTAGTCCCACGGTCTCTGACCCAAGAATTTGGAGATTCGGTCCTAAGCACACCTTCTCTTCTCTGTCTGACCTCAGTCACTTGTGGATGCCCCAACAGGGGCCACTCAGTGAGCTCGGAGCCCCGTGACCACTGGCAGGAAGGACACAGGAATCTTGTTACACAGAGTGGGGCTGGGAGGGGAGAGTGCATAATTGCAGAGACAAGGAGGGACCTCACCACCTGTCTCCCTCTCCCTTAGGTGCAAGAAATTCC